CAGTAACCAGATGGACGGCACAGCATTCGTTACGCAATGCCCGCTCGCTCCAGGGCATTCTTTTCTGTACGAGTTCAATGCTGGTGACCAAGTAGGAACATACTGGTACCACTCTCATTATGGAGTTTGTGCCTCGATTTATTCACGTATCGGTGACTGAGTGGACTACAGGTCCAATACTGCGACGGTCTACGAGGTCCAATGATCATCTACGACCCCGACGATCCATACCGTTTCTCTTACGATATTGATAATGGTCAGTCAGTCAGCCTGCCGAAACGAATTTGCGCTTCTGACACCTAAGCGAAGAATCTACTATTATCACGTTGATGGACTGGTAAGCCGAGCCGACCTTGAGGCTTTTCCTGAGATTGAATCGGCTCACTTTGCAGGTATCACGTACCATCTCCTCAAGTCCAAAGACAGGTGACTCCCGACTCCGTGCTTATCAACGGTGTCGGGAGCTATCAGGGAGGACCGGATTCTCCTTACGCCGTCATCGACGTTCAGCCGTTCAAGCGATATCGTTTCCGTTTACTGAACATGGCGTGCAAGCCCAACTATATTTTCTCTATCGATCACCACAAGCTCACCATAATTGAGGTTGATGGCCAATACGTCGAGCCGGTCGTGGTAGACTCTATTCAGATCTATGCTGCACAGCGGTATTCTTTCATTCTCGAGACGAACAGGCCCGTCGACAACTATTGGGTGCATGCGGATCCGAACACAGGTACGAACTCTACGGCCATCTTACGATACACAGGCTCTCCCGACGTGGACCCGAAAAACAGAACGACTCCAAACCTGGCCCCTCTGAAAGAGACTGACCTACACCCCTTGTATCCGCCTCCATCTCGTTTGCTTCAGGAAAATGGTGCAGACGTAAAGCTTGATCTGATCCTTGGGAAAAATGAGACCAGTTACAACTTCCTCATCAATGGGGTTCAGTACACTTCTCCTAGTGTCCCTGTACTACTACAGTTATTGAGCGGTGATATGACGGCTTCGAATCTGGCACCCAATGGTTCCGTGTATATTCTACCGCGGAACAAGGTTATCGAGATTTCCTGGAACCCTGACAATGCCGATGGGCGCCCTGTAAGTTCTTTTCATTTCCTGTACCTTATGTGCTCGATCGACAATAGACTGAAACTTTGACAGCATCCATTTCATCTACATGGTGTACGCCTTGACATGTCATCGATGTACATACCGTCAACCACTAACTGGTTCACAGCACAGTTTTGCTGTCATAAGAAGTGCCGGAAGTAGCAGCTACAACTATGTCAACCCCGTCATGCGCGATACCGTGACTACTGGTTTTGCTGGTGACTATGTGACCATCCGCTTCATCACGGATAATCCTGGGCCCTGGTTGTTACACTGGTGAGTGTTGGCTTTGATGGCTCATCCCCGATAATGTTGATGATTTCTGAAGTCATATCGATTGGCACCTATACACGTGAGTTTCTTGCTCCCTTATACCGAGCTTGGATGGACTTTTGATTTCTGTGCGCGCAGCGGAATGGCATTGGTATTTGCAGAGGCTCCTCAAGATGTAGCACTTTCACAGCCTCTCCGTAGTGAGTACCGAGCACCATGAACTACTAGTAGAGTGGGTTTGACGACTAGCGATAGGTTCTTCGAAGCGGCTCTGTCCGATATATGATAACCTTTTCCCCCAAAATTTCCCTCTGCCTCCTCCAAATTGATTGATATTGTTGTTTTTGGTTTTTTGTGGACCCTTATCCGACGAACGCCAACTTTCGGCGATTTATTGTTTGAAATGGATGACTTCTATAGGCCCTCCCATTTTTACTGGGGTTGCATACAGTTTGAAACTATGTAGTCAATTTATACTCGATGACACTGAATGGCGTTGCCGCAATGTTTATTCTGCGAATACCAGATAGGAGCCAAGTTATTTAAATTTACTGTCGATGGTCGACATAAATAATGGAGGTTTGGTTGACAATTCAATGACTTTTACAGTGACTTTTTTCACTGCAGTTACAAGCAGTTTTAATGGCGCTGAACGGCGTTGCCGCGATGTCACATCCAGATGGCGAATCTAGTGAGGTTAGGAACGCACACCATTTAACAATCCCAGGGACAGCCAGCGCCCAGTATATCCATGTCATCCATACAAATAATCTAGGGGTATCAGCGAACAACCATTGCAACTAATTCTACAGGGCAGATTCAATACCAACCAGCGCACCCTCTACATCCTCGCCTCTCAAATACATTCTAATACACACTCCACAATCGCACACCGCCGTTCCTCCACCACGATCCGCACAGCCTCTGCCATCGTTTCCCCCAGGGGATCACCCGCAGCGATGCGTTTTCCCCACGCCCATCCCCCAGTCGCAGCTACCGCGATACCTACATAGTCGGGCATGGCGGGTCCAAAGCCCACGGTGAGCTGGTTGCCCATGACCTTGGAACCGTGTCCCTCAGGGTGCACGCCTAGCATAGAGAGCTTTGGTGATTTCCAGCCTCCGTTGTTCAAAACGATAGTCAGGAAGGGCTTGTAACCCAAGTGTCCTCAGCACCCACTCGAACAATCAACAAGTAGCACTCACTGTTTCATACCGCCTCGCCATCCAGAATGCACTCCCAGGCACTCCAAACAAGAACGTACCGTCACCCACCACGTTCACTACTAGTTCATACCCCACTTTCCCAGCACCTTTACCCGCGCTCACGCCTCCTAGGACTGCACCGACGCTCCCACCAAGCGCCCACCCGAGCGACGAGCCGCCAGAGCCCAACATGCCCGCAGGCATGTCGGGGTGCAGGTGTGTCCACGCAAGCGGGTAGTTACTGATGGCTTCGTTGAGGTAGAGCGTGCTTGCAGGGTGAGGGACCTTATTCTCTACCGCCGTGCGCAGTGCGCCGAAGATACGCGCGGGCGCATACGGCGCGTTCGGCTCGGAAGTGAGCGTCTCTTCCCTACGCATGGCCGTAATAAACGCGTCGTGAACCCCCTGTATGCTCTTAGAGCGCGCGTAGAACCCTGTCGCGGCACCTGTGCGCCCAGAGTTCAGGAGTTGGTAGAGCATGACCTCTGCGCTGGCGCGGCAGACGAGCTCTGCGACGCTGGCGACGTGTTCATTGCCGATGCTTTCTTTGAGGGGGTCGCCGGAGTCAATGACGAAGATCCGGGCGTCGTCGCTTGGGCGTTCGAAGTTGCCTTGTTTGTTCTTGTTCATTGGGATCCACGGGACTTCTGCGTCGATGACGAGGACTACGTCGGCTGTGCGGAGCAGCGGGGTGTGCGTACCAGGCGCAAGGAAGGAGACACCGACGAAGAAGGGGTGTGAAAGAGATATGTTGGTCGCACTAGGGCAGGTCACAAATATAGGGATAGCCATGAGCCGGGAAAGCATCTCAAGGGCGGTGATGGCTGCGGGATTCCGCCCAATGTATGAGGTGATGATAAGCGGGTTGCTTGCCTGAGCCAGGGCATCGCCGATAATGTTCACGGCTGGACGAGCGCAGTGAGCGAAAGCGGTAGTGGTGCCACTGGCAGTTACTATGATACTTTACCTGAGGAAGAGAGCGCGGTTGGCTCGATCGAAGGCCATCTGTAGAGAGATGCTGGAGCGTTGAATAGGGATTCATCGATCTCCTTTTCCATTACTTCTCTGCGTGCCCAGAGATATACAGGTCCTTTTGGTTCACTTGTGGCACTGGGGTGCATGTCTCAGCCAAGTTTGACTTTGAAGGATAATAAGCTCACATTTGGAGGGCACGTCTGACAAGATGAGGGACATTTTCGGGTGTGTTGATCTGTGCAGTAAAGCGCATGTATTGCCTGACAATTGCAGGTTGGTCAGGTACATCTACGCGTAAAGAATCTCAGATTTATCTCCGACCAATCAAAATATAGATATCTGACCTTGCATCCAATGAATCCACTCGTTCCTTGACCCCTTCAATTCTCCTTCCACAGTCGAAGGGGATGCACCAGCAAACACCAGGATAGGAACTTTGCCTCTGCTCGCATTGTGGACGGTACCAGCCAGGGCCTATCACAAGGTGTTTGACGTCAATTTCTCTGCAAAGTCACGAGTATGACACTAACCTGGGTTCCGACGTCAACATGCACAATAACTGCAGCGGGCCTATTCGTGACCTGCACAAATGTCTGCGCTGCGCTTAACGCAACCATTTCATTGGGACAAGTGATTATCTCGACCACGGTATCACCATGATCGACGCGTTGACGCTCGAGATCTTCCAGGAGCGCAGGGTGATCCGAGCCCCAGTTAACGAATGCATGGGTGATGCCGACCTGGGCTAGCGTATGCAGGAAGAGAGAAGATGTGGTGTACATCGTGGACAACGATGGAGGGAACCGCTAGATCGTGAAGCGCAGGTGATATATATATATAGTCCTGATTGTCCTGGGACATGTGCACATTGACATGGGATGCAATGCATTTTCCTGGTCCCACGGGCCGCACATAACAGTGTTGCATATGTTGGAGGTTGAGAACTCAACCTTGGATGAGTGGGAGATGAATACACAGTCATGGATAAGAGCATGCATATGGAGGCCGCTATCTGCTGCCATTCGGTGGTGACTAATATTGACTTGATATCATTGGTTCTACGGTTGCCATGACCTGGGACGCATGCTAATTCAAACGGGAAAAACAAAACTTGTAGATTGTTGACAGTGCACTGGCAGGGCTTTGTCAAAAATTCAAGGGTTGAGACGCGCTGCTAGAGGTTTATCTATCAATTGGAGTAGTCTATCTAAAGATTGTGCATGGTCTGCCTGCACCAATACAGACCGCGTCCGATAATTTTGTGCGGCTACGTTTCCGCAGGAAACGGAGCAGCCCATAATTAACGTACGTATACATTCACTCTCAAGATCTCACCACCCATACTGGATGACTTCCCGCAGCGATTGGAACACCTTTGTGTGATCGCGTAGTCTCAGGTTAAGGAAGAATCTGAGAATGAATATTAGTTAAAGACCTTACGGGGTGGACTAATATTCAGAAAGAAAGAGAACAGTTAAGAGCTGATGAGAAGTGAGTGAAGTTTAAACGAATCGGTGACGAATTCGACTAAGTACGATTCGTTTTGAGTGTGGGAAGGTTTGGCAAACAGACCAGCACTGGGAGACAGGAGGCCTGGGCAAGAGGCATGGATCCCGGGAAAGCCGAAGAGATTATGATCGTACTGGAGAATATCGGGATCGATAAGAAAGGCGAACCTTCCGTCCTAAGTAGTTCTGGCATCTTCCAACAATCCGTCTCTCCTTGGCGTGACCCTTTTCTCTACACGGCGCATGCTACATACTGCACTTGTACCTTTCCTTACCGACTAACTGCGATGCTGAGATTTCAACAGGGCGATTAACCTAAAGTTGCGACGCGCGCAACAATTGCATAAAAGTACTTGGCTGGGATTCAGAGCATGCACACTCTTGAAACATGGTGTGGTACTCGTACTGTGTGTGCGGATGATAAATGGCTAGGTCATAGAGGAATCCGAGGGTTTACGTACCTCGAGGAACAGCAGCGTGAGGACATTCACCGTCGAGAAAACTTTCGGGATAGAAACCATCATCGATGAGTACAGAACATGAGCCTGAAAACTTGTGTATGTCCTCACTTACACAGACCGCAAGCATAGTATAATATGTTATGCTTCACCAAGACGGCGTACAGATGGCTGTTGGACGCCCGCCAACTCTTTATGGCGCGTGTGACCGTGAGGATCATGAGTCATGGAGAGCGTCGGTCAGCGCGCGTGAATGCTCAGGGTTTCTGACGACACGCCAAGTTGAAACAAAAGTAAGAGTAGAAATGGTATGAAGAGCTGGACGCTGCCAGAGCTCTGGTAGCAGCCTGTGATGCCCGGTATCATGCTGGTGGAAACTGTGAAAGTGGAGGAAATATGCGTGAGTGGTGGTGGAACACCAGAAGGAAGGTCAGAGCGCGTACATGGTGCGTCGGAAGTAGTGGCGAAGGAAATGCCGGTCTATGCTACAATAAAAGCATGGCTGATGCATCTACCACGAACTTGGCATGCAGCGAGGACATGGGACTCACGAAAAAGGCTGTTAGCGTGGGTACGACTACGAATTTATTGTTGCTTCATAGTGCACATGTTCTGAGGACGAAAAAGACTGAATGAATGGGATCAGAAACGCAGATATATCGCGGAGGAAGAAGAGATACATTCAGAGCAAACGGCTGATATCATGCTGAAACCTGTGAGTGGAATGGATAGCACTCGGCAAGGATGTGCAAATATGTATGTGCCATGCACGTACATGCACAAACAGTGTTCAATGTCTGGCATTCCTGGCAAAGTTTGCAGTAAGCGTCGTTCATCGATCAGAAATTCCACCGCGCGTTCACATACATCTGTGCTCTTGTTCGGGATGAAGTTCACTGAACCATGTCAAGTCAATTGATAGCGATGTGTACTGGAGCTGAACGCACGATATAGATTCGCGGTGAAGAGGAGAAAAGGCACGTATCGTGCAGCAACATAAAAGCCTTTTACTCTGGACCAGCGTGACAGAAGCAGGAACATCCACTTTGAATAGATGATTATCATGAATTTCAAAATGAGGTTGAATAAGTGTATTACCTCCTGATGAAGCGAACAAACGTAATCGTAGGTCTGGGCAATGGAGTTTAACAACAGTCGGAAATCTATCAGGACAAGCTCACCCAGAATGTAGCCATCGAAGCTGAGCTGTATTAGAACAAGGGAGAAGTAGTTCAGACAGTACGCACTGTATAGATACTGGCAGCACATGGATGGTATACTATTACTAATGGCTGTCGAACTGGCAAGAAAGAGACGCATCGTGTATGTCTGCAAGCTCCTCGCTGCCGCGATATCGTCAGCTGAATACACCATCTTGTCCATTCATTCGAGGGGCAGAAAATGGATTTTGAGCGCAAGGAATAACATATCGTGCACCTTCTTATATCAAACCTCCGGACACAACGTGGGAATCGTTTCGGGCAGAAGCCCTCTGAAGCACTCAAGTCTGGTCATACAACAACAAGATCTGATAGGAACTGATGCTGTGCCGTTTGAGTTCTGGAAAGTAAGTGACATGAACCCGAACCCCAGGCACATGTATGTTGTGCAGGGGAAATGCAGCGAGCGGGGATAAGCCATTGTAAGGTTTGGCCATTTCCTGCTGCCGATATAAAACCTGGTTCGGTCAAAGAGCGCTCAAAGACTGACCAAACAGTAATAGTATATGAAGCCGCCGAGGGGATCCGCGGTGTCGTGGTATGCAGTTCGGTCACGTACACCTTCGGGTGCTCAGCGAAGCCGAAGCACGTGGTTGACAGTTCGACGGGTTTGATCCTGTCGCTTTTGCGAATGAATTTTGAAATGATGTCTCGATGGACCTTCGGACTGTCAAACCTGAATCTATATTTGAATGCACCAGCAATGCCAACCACCAAAAACGATCAACAAGGTTTGTCTCTGCAGGCCGAGACTTTTGGTCGCTGCACCAATTGGCTAAGGCTTGTGAGCGGTGAAGATGTTACAAACCGTTCATGGCCTGCGCATGCACCGTCACGCGTGCACCTGGAGGTTTGTGAGTAGCTTGCATATCATGGACACAAGGACGGGAAGTAATCCAGGAGGTGTAGGTGTCTTCACCAGCGAGCTTCGCAAGTATGACAATTACGTGGATGTATTTGAAGGAATTACAGTGATGATGTACCCTTGTGCACTGTTGACCTGACGTTGATAGTGATTTTGAAAATGCCCAACTCGTTCGGGCGCTGCAGCACCTTCCCTCCTAAAACCAATCTTTAGTTCATCCGCTTGACGTCGAAATGGGGGTTCTCACGTTACCAGGAGGCTAACTGCAATCCTCTGATTATGATGGGTAAAAATAGGCGCATCTGCCACTTCTCAATGAGCCATTTCCCAACCCTTTCCTCATGATAGTCGTATATTGCACAGCACAAGGCACAGCATGCGCTTTTTTCCATCCCTTCATACGTGACACGTGCTGTAATACGGTGAGGTCAACCTGAGGTTAAAACTTACGTTGCAGCCGCATGTCGTTGTTCATGAAAGTTCCGTTCTGCGGTTTAGCTACCATCTTAACGAGGTCTCATCCACTGAAGTATGAACGTACGAACGTTACGACACAGTGATGGAAGAAGATGCATTCACGTCGACATCAACAGTATCTGTGGGTTCAGTTTTCAAGTACTCGACGAAATCTAGTAGGTGTTCATTCAGAAAACAGCTCCATTCCCCGCGAAACGATGTAACGCACGTAATCCGAGGGTGGATGGAGACAGGAGACATTTTGCGGCTCACTGCAAAGACGTACATCTATCAGTCTCGGTGTGATTTGGCTCCCTCGCTGCAAATGACACTTTAAGTTTCGCATCCAGACGGCTGGAAAACCTACTGAGTGAGATGTACGGACGCGCTGCACGGTGAGCAAAAACAAGTGTCCTTTGAAGTCCGCTGGTCAGCCCTCCATTTTGGCCTATGCCAACCATGCCATGGGACGCTTCAAGCTTCAAGTTTGGGACGTTTGATGAGATGACTACCAATCGATTCTCAATGAACCACGTGACATCCATTTCATCAACACCCACATCAGCCACCAAATTCCTCAGTGCTCCATGAAGGAGCTCCGCTGCCACTTACGATATAGAAAGAACTGTTGTAGCAAAGTTCATGGTGCAAGTAACAACCGTGGGACAAAAATGGGTGTAACATGACGCACCGCCGGGCCGCCTTACCATCACTTAAGTAAACTCCTGAACACTGAGCAGTCTTTGCTCTCAACCGTGACCATGTTGTTCTCACAGGGATACCAACAACTCCCCACATTTGACAAGGGCTGGCGAGCACGACTCTTTCCAACGCAAGGAACCTCGCAAAAGGAGATTTTCTCTCCTGGGCATTGCTGTCATTGTAATCATAATGTGCGCTTCCCTCCCGCGCATAATCAGGTCCAGGGGATTCTGGGCTGCTTGCCATGGACCTCAGCGAAACT